CTCTAGGTTGACATGCTGGAACCACGTTAAACAAAGTAGAGGAGCTTTCACAGATGACCTGTGTGCTTCATTAGCTGGAATGGATAGTTTTATCACGTTTGTCATTCTTTTATTGGTTTTAGAATTGACATCCAGATCACCAAGCCATGGTAACCCTTCAATCTTCCATACATTTGAACATCAATTCTGAATACAGCAACCAGTAAAACAATAAAAGACCATGAACATGATTAAGCCATCCATTCCAGCTCCAAATGATGAAGCATATGGATTGTCTGAAAGCATCTGTACTTTCATGTTTAAACACTGTTCTAGCATGTTAACCCTTTGATGCGCACGATATTATTTTTATAATTTTTTTAACTAAAAACTCTAGAAATTGAATATTATGATCCTAGAGACAAGTAATATATGAATTTAAAAAAATCTACTCTCTGCTTATTGTTCTGTGGGTGGTGGTCGCACTGTGAAATCACCGCGCATCTAGGACTTTGAAACTTACTGATGTAGTAGAAAAAAAAACTTACCATTTTCCTCGCATGTTTCCAATAAATGACGAAATTTACGGATTTTAAAAAAAATTATGTAAGAATTGCATTATATATAATTTTTTTACATTATTTTACAAAGTAAAGCATCAGAAAAAATTAAAAAATAAACATTTATGTAATTTTTCTATAGCGATGAAAATATAAGTACCTACATAATAAGGACATTTGGATAAATGGATTAAAAAACTCAATAAAATAAGGATAAAAAAGAACTCAGTGGTTTTTTTCTTTAATTTCAAAGAACAAATTTTTTTGTGACACTGTTCAAAGCATGTTTTGTCTCTTTGGTACATGCTTAGACTCGCATTGCACATTTCTCACATACATCTTGTTCTATGAGGTTTCCACCTTGTGCTACAAAATGTACACTGCCTGGATTAAAATTTCACGGGTATATGTCCAGGGTTATTTAGTTTCTTTTCATCTGGCACATGAAATTTGTGGTTTTTTTTATGTTAATTGGGGGGGGCTTGGTATTTTTGGCTTTGTACGGATTGTTCGTTTCCCTTTCATACTTATTTTATTCGTGTTCCCAAAATATTCGGAAAATATTTTAAATTTAAATAAAACTTTTACGCTATTTCTATTTTTAATTATAGCAAAGTATATTTACAGTAAATTTAAACCACAGGAAATAATTTATAAAATCACAATACTAGCTTGGGGAGCAAGTGTGTTGATGTCAGAGAAAAGTATTTGGAAAATAAAGACCTTTTTACTGGGCAGGTGCATGTATTGTTTAGTAATAAAATAACTCTGTGGTTTCAAAGCCCTTTATCTATATCCGGGTAAAAATAAACATTCCTACTTGAAAAGCAAGTGAACGCCATCGAGAAGCAAACGCCAGTGGTTTAAAGGCACGACCACCGAGCCTCTAGAGGTTGTAAGCATTGTGACACAATGCTCTAGTGGTGCAGTGGTCGCACCCTGAAACCACATTAGCAAATGCCATACATATAGAGGGTTTTATATATGCAGTTTAATAACTGAAATTTTATATTGTTTATGATAGAAATCATGATGTGCGATGACTAACTTTTGAAATTTAAAGTTGTTTATATTAATAAAAGGAAGTTATTTTGTCTCATCGAAAACGAATTTTAAAAGGCATCCGATCTGAAGTATTAATACCTAAAACATATATGATTCTACAGTCATTTTGTGTTATTTAGATGTAAAAGATCAGTAATCAATTCATTTTCACTCAAAAATTTTGGAAAAAAGAGGAGAAAAAAATATTCGGAAAATAGTGGTTTCAGGATCAGGACGCGACCACCGCACGTCAAAGGGTTAATCTACAGCAGCAGTTCTCAACCTTTTGACTGACGAGTACCATCTAAACAAAAACTGAAAAACTTTAGAACCACCATTACATTTTACAATTATTATTTTTTAAAATTCTGAGTTAGAAATATTAAAAATGCATATTTTGCCATTTGCACAACCTATTGGCTATTTGTATTAAATATGGGCACATAAAAAATAATAGATTAAAAAATTGGTTACCATTTTAAGTATCAAAATTTAAGTTGTCTGTGTCATAAATTACATGTATTTTAAACTGTGAAATTTTATTAGATTTTGATTTTAATAGGGCTTTTTTAACAAATATTGTTAAAAAATAAAATTTAATAGTGGTCATGTAAAGCCATAATGACTAAGGTTATCAAACTACATAATTTAATTATTTATAACTAACTGCTTACCCTTAAAAATTATCTCTACATATTAAAGTGAGTTATTGCCTTTCATTAATACTCACTGTGGTCACAAGGTAAAATGTAAAAATTTCAGTAAAACATATTCTAATGCATCTAGTGAGACTTAAAATAATACAAAACACCATATCACCTCTGGTGCTTTAATGGCTTATTGGAACCTTAAAGTGTATTAACTGGGTTACAACCCCTGAAACTGTACACGAAGCTACGACGCTAACTGCATCACACAGAGCCTGACTAACTTTCAACACTTGCCAACCTTGCCTACATCTTGCCTTTTCATGTTTGTTCTATCAGCAGGTCTCTCTCTAGACAAGCAGCAGCGGTGACAACATTCAGTCTTTTGTTATGAATCATGTTGATTATGATCTTACTTCTTATTTTAACCTATGCAGTTTGACATAAAAATCTACCTGCTTATTTACTAAACCTCTAGACTGACCAAGTATGTGACAAAATGAAACATTAAAAAAAAAAAAAAAAATCAGCATAACGCTGTTAGTAAAACGTAAAAAATGAAATGTTTGGAAATGCATGTTCATTAATGTCGCTTATATTCTTTCAAATATGTCCAACTGTCATAAGTGTAAATTATTTAATGCTATTTGATAAATTGCATAAAGTTTATTTTATTCTCAAACTTATTAACAATTATGTTAATTAATTCATGTTTAGTAATGATGCGTACTACTTACGGATCTATTTTATTTTTAGAATGGTGTTACAAAAGTGAAATTCAGGCATAGATAATTTTTTAATTGAATTTATTCAGTTCCCATTTGCTCATAGGTCCTTAATGTTTTTAAAATATGGTCCTTAAAAGTACTTAATTTCCGTGTGCAGAAGTGTGTACGAACCCTGTATTAAAGATAGAAAAATCGCCGTACAAAATTGTTCTAATGGAAAGAAGAGCAATATGAGCCCGGAAATGGTGGCAAATAAAGTGTAAACATAGTTAATAAATCGATTAATTCCAAACGATTCTTTAATCTTTAAATTCTAAAAGAATTAATGAAATACTATTATCTTTTTACAGGAACTCGAGTGAAAAAAACTTAAGCAGGATGTTGGGGTGTTTAATTTTTGAATTTAATAGTTAAAATACTTTTGCATACCACCGGTTTTTGTGTTGCATACCACCAGTGGTACCCGTACCACTGGTTGAGAATTGCTGATCTAGAGTATTTTGTTTCATTTTTAAGGCTCCTAAATCCACTTTAATTAAGATTTTTGGGGGATTATTCCAGTTATGATGCTGATGATGGGATCTATATAAAAATAATAAAGAGAAGAGGGGTAGTATTTATTTAATTCATGTAAATTTAAAAAATATATACCTTTTTTTGGGGGGATTAGCTTTGTACATTGAAATTACAAAAATTTTTAAGGGTGGACATTAAAAATTTTTTTGAAGGAAGGAGGTGTCATAAACTTTCAGAGTACTAAAATTTAGATTTACTTGAAATTGATAAATATTTGAATTTCCTATAGTATACCTTAAATATTTGTTAATTACAGATCAAGAGAGATTTTGTTAAAAGTATGATTTACACTGATTCTAACATTTTTTTCATCCACAGTTTGTGTTTTTAACTCTTTTTCAATAGTATGAAATTACCATTTCCCATATTAACTTTTATTGTTGCTTTTTCCTCATATTATTACTTAAAAACCTGGAGGAGAGAAAAAATTATAGAATTCAAATTAGCAGGGGGGATTTATGCCGTAAAAAGTGTACTCCATGCCAGTCTTCTTGTCAAACAAAATTTTCTTGGTTCTTCTTTGCAGCTGTGTAAACTACAATGCAATAAACTCATTAATTTTGGATTATGTGTGTCATTCTTTTTCATCATATCTTTCCCAAAGACCCTGTACCTCAAATTAGGCTTTAACTATTCAAATCTCTTGTGACATATTAAATATAATGTATAAGAAATTTTTTCCTCATATGACATGTATGTATTTAACCCCCCCAAAAAACTGCATGACTCATTATTCAAATTTGCTGTACCTCATTCCTTCCAAGTTCCCCCCCCCCTGTTTTTCACCTGATCCTGATAAAAAAAACTACAACAGTCCATTGCATCAGTTACATCAGATTATGCTTTTATGTGTCTGAACTGAAATGCACTGTAGACTTTTATGTGTTTTGTGTGATTGAACGATCTTGTGTAGCACATCTGTGAATAGGAAACAAGAAATTTGAATAGTTAAAGCTTAATATAATATGTCACAGCCAAATGTATGTTGATTAAATTGTTTGTTATAGTTATTGATTTAAGTGATCCAAAAGTCTCATTGAATTGTTATTGAGAGGTGGTTGAGACTGGAAGGGAGGCAATTTCCTTCAAAATTTAGACAGTGTTGGTCAAATTTGTGCTTCCATCCATAAGATGTCCAAACCTTAAGCCGATTACAGGTGCAACCCTTGCACTCTTGGCCATGATAAAATTTGTGGACTAATCTAATATTACTTTTAAGTGAAATAAGTCTCAACAGCAACAGGATGATTTTGTTTTCTTTAACACACTTTATACTTAAGTCTTTGTAGACAATAAAAGATGTTTTGCTAATGTAACTACTTTAAACAGTCTTGACAAATATGTACTGTTCTCCTGACCTTTCCCTAAGATTTAATTTTTTTATTACTTTCAAGGATATAATTATAATAGTCCAGATGATATGGTGAAAAATAGTTATTTAAATGTGTGGATTTGTTATCATTTAGGATGGTGATAAATTTTGGAGAATGCCAGAGTGCTATGTCCGGGGCAGCACTATTAAGTACATGAGGATACCTGATGAAGTTATTGATATGGTGAAAGAAGAAACATTATCAAAGGGACGTGGGCGAGGTGATATCAAAAGAGGAGGAATGGGCCAAAGAGGAAGAGGAGGTGGAAGAGGTTAGTCTTTTATGTAATATTGTAAATCTTGTAAATGGTATTTATACAGTAGAATTCCATTAATCTACATGCTTTGGAAATGCATGTTATGTAAATTTGAAAACTTTGTAAAATGCCTTCATCAGTTCTGTTGATATTTCACCTTCTCTGATTGCGTTACATTTGAATTATTTGCTTGAAATTATTAATGAAAACATATTGATCATTAAAGAATTACGTAATCAAGATTTTCTGAGTAGAAAACTGTTATTTTTTTAAATACAGTTACATGCAAAGAAAATAAAGCCAGTATAAGGGGAAAATGTAATTGTGAGGTAAATATTTTAAGGAAGTAAAGAACGTTTTTAAAAAAATGCATCAAAATATTTTGTGTAAAAAAGAAGGGAGTCTATGTGCCACTGAAATTACTTTCAAAGTAATTTTAGTACCTCTGATTATCTGCATGCCTGCTTTCAGCATTCAGTAAAATTCCTGTGTTTTCCACATATTTTTTAGTACACTTGCAACAATAACCACACATGCACATACCATATATATTGGAGTATATCAACCTCATTAGGTTGCTGCTCACAAAATTCCTTGTTTCTTGCAAAATGCCCAATTTATTTATTTGTATGCAGAATAGCCTCTGAGAACCATAGAAAATTGGCAACCAAATGTGTTTCGCCAATTCCCAATGCTATCAATGAGTTGCCAACATTTTTATGTGGATTTGGATAATCAGAAAATATTATAATTAAGCTTTTAAACAAAAGGATAAAAAAATAAATATTGTTAAAAAAATACTTTGTAAATTTTCTCCTGAGTGGAATCCCTGCATTAATTATGCCATTATTAAAGGGGTGTAAGCAATTGGATTGATAATATTGCTGACAGTTAATTAAAATTTCAGATATATTAATGTTCCATTTTTGATGTTAGGAAAATCTGTGTGTTTTCTGTATTTAGTTGGCTATTTCTGTTCATTTCTGACACTGAAAAACATGCTTGTTGTACAGAGAATGTAAACTAACTCTCAACTACCACTTTTACCAAAAATATTTTGGATTTTTTTTTATATGATTTGTTCCAGCACAAGGAATTAATGCTGCAAGGGCTTCTGACACTGAAACATTACTGATTGAATCACCTTAGAGGAATGAAATGAAAACATCTTAAAGGGGTGTAAACAATTTTCGCATGTGTGCAAGCTGATTGGTTGAAACAGGTTCATCAAGTGCAATTCTTGAAAAATAATTAAAAAAATCTACTACTTCAAGTTAAAATTGAATACCAGTTAAAGAAAAATTCATGGCATAATGCACTGGTAAAAATTAACAATTCATAGCACTGGTAGGCCACATAGTCTTCATAATTTAGAAGAGAAGCAAAATCAGTTGCTTGTGATATGGTCTTTTATACCATACCAACTGAATCTCATGACAGTCTTTCAATCAGAAGCACTGCTATATAATGACATGCATTTAATTTAAATTTCAGCATCTGAAATGTGTAGTCAGATAAATTCTTGTCACGGGCTAACCATAAAATTTATTTTAAAAGACCGCAAAATTTAAATTAAAAAAGGAGGCATTTTCTTGAAGAAATAATTTGCATAAGTTCATGATCCTTGTTCACTAAAAAAAAAAAAAAAAAGAAAGAAAAAAGAGTACTTATGCTCATGCAGAAAATGCCAATACAGTCAAAAGTCGTTAATCTGGACTCGTCGGGACTTCGGCGATTCCGGATTATCAATTTTTCCGGATTATAAATCATCAGTTTAAATCTGGTAAAATGGCATGTAGAAATTATAAAATTAAAAATATGAAACCGTAATTTACGAAATAAAGAACAATTATGATCTAAAGGGTATCAAAATTTACAAAAAAAAAAAAGCTCAATATTTATTTGTTTACTTTATTAAACATTTCTTTCAATGTAAGTTGTTTAAGTTGCTTCGTTTTTTATGTGATCTTTAGTTCCATAAACAGACGTAATTTCTTGTTCAGTTACAAAGTTTCGCTGTTCAAGTCCTATAATTGCTGTGTCGAGAATACCGACTAATTTGTCAATCGAAATTTTTTCGTTTTCAATAACCTCTGTTACTTTCTTCGCTATCGGAAGCGAATTATAATGACGAGGCATTTGATTTAAATCATATCAAAGACGGAGTACATCGAGAGGAAATACCACATTTAGTAAGCAATTATAAGCCAAATAAAATAAAAACATCTGCCCTTAAGATAAGGATAGTGTTGACAGATCAACTTTCAATTCATTGCGCTCTGCGGCGTTAAAGATAAACAAAGTTTAGATAAACAAAGGATATGCCTTTATCCATTTTTTTGTAGCAATTCCACTTTTTGTTTAATAGACTCCGAAAGATACTTTCACTTTGTATATCCTTTACATATTAGTAAATATATATCGGAAATTCTATTTGAAATAATCGAAAGTTCAAGCTTACTTTTATAAAATTGCTCTAACAGTCTGCAAAAAATAATAAGCCGGATCCAATTCGAAGATTAAGGAACAACGCAATCTGCAACATTAACTGAAATAGATAATTAGATAATTTTAGCTTAGCTTATCTGGTCTGTTATACATTAAACGTGCATTCGTAAATGTATTTTGCGCACACGCAAATTCGCAGGCGTAAAGGTCTTACGCGCATGTGTCAACGCGACGCATGCACAGAAAGTTTGTAGCTTTGAAATCCGGATTATAGATCATTCTGGATTATGGGTGTCCGAATTAACGACTTTTGACTGTATAGCTTCAATAATAAAGTAAAATCTCTTTCTAAAGTATGTTACAAATGTAGTGCAATTTATTTAAATAGTTTATTTTATGTATACATCTAAGAGATGTAAATATTGTTAAAATATTGGTATTTAAGCTGAGAGTACAGAATCTTGAGAGCATCTGGTATGTCAAGTCTTGCTGTTATTTTTACCATCTCTATTTAAAAATTATGTTCCTGGTTTAGCATTCTTGCTAGCGGATGCTTTAAATATGCATTGTTGAACTATATTAGCCAACTTATTCTATTTAATGTATAGTCTTAGACTACATTATTGACATTTGAATTTATTTGTCTATTCTGTTTTAAAATATCCACAGTTGTAAAAATTTCATCTGTGGCACAAGTTGTGTGTCAGTGTTCAAACTGAGAGTACAATTAAAGAAGTTATTTAAACCTTCTTTCGTATTTTACGAAATTTTGAAGATGTAGCAATTAGTTTCCAGTTATAATAGCAACCCAACAGATTCTAATTTACTATCTGATTTGCAAATTATTAAATTATTATTCTCTTCTCAGGCACAAACAGTAGAGTTTTGTTAACAGATTAGTTCTTAGAATTTAAGCTAAAAATGAGAGAAAGACTGAAAGAAGCATTAGACATTAAGTATAATAATCTGGCTCATATATTTTTACCAGTGCATATAAAAAGCATTGATTAGCAAGAATGCTAAAGCCAGAATACAATTTTTAAGCAGAGCTAGTTAAAAATTCTAAAGGAAGATGCAATTACCACAAGCTCTGTGAAATAAAGCTACAGTACCCTCAGCTTAAATACACACAAAGCAAACAATGTTGGAGAAATCTTATATATTTGCATGAAAATTTAGTCTTTTTTTCATGTTATGTCATTCGACTTTTGCGATTTAAAAAATGAAACATTTGATCGTATTCGGATATATGAATATTTTAACAAACTATAAATGTAGGATGATGAAATGGTGCACAGCAATGGCATAGTGATGATACAGTAGAACATTTTTTTATACATTTGTAAATTAAAATGTACATGATACCACTCCCTCATTTATATGAGGTGTTCAGATGAAAAGGTATGAAACGACATTATGGATATATTGAAGTGTTTATTCACAAGTAATCCCCAGAGGCCTGAGAACTACTATTCCACTGTTTCACAAGCCGAAGGATTCCCTCTTTCCAGAATTCCTGTAGCAGTTACAAAAGCCATTTGTCATTTGTATGCTTCATGTGTGCTTCATTTCGTGGTCCAGATTGAAGTGCTTCTCTTTGAGATGCCACTTCTCACCAGGTCATTCACCTTGTGGATGAATTCGGCCATGATTAGTTTGCCTTGCCTGGTCTCAGGTCATCACTCAAACATTCCAGGCCTTCATGAAAACTGGTACTTCACTTTCTCACTGACTTGTCCGGGCACACAATCTCTACATCTATGGCTACCATCCAACAATGAACATCAGCCATTTCAACCCCAGTCAGAAATCAGATAATACCTCACTTCTCTTCAATCACTGAATTTTGGAATGTGAACGTCATGATATCCCTACGTGTCCTGCCTCATCAATTGGATGGAACATACGACTGCCTGCTTCTCTCCTGCATCATGTATGGGCACCTGCACATGTGCACAACCTCACTAGACACTATAGCCCCGTTCACATGCAACGCTCCTTCGCACAGCTGCTGTTAGCAAGGGAAGAAAAAGGAGACATGAAAGAGTTTCATCTTTAGGACCCGTTCAGAAGACCACCATCTTCCTTCCCCTTTCTTTACACCTAAGCCTCTGTGAACAATCACGTCTCCGAATTGGCAGATTTCTAATGCTGTTTACTCATTTTTAACGTTGTTAACTGTTGTTAATTTTGTAATCTGGACTTTTGCAACTGGTACCTGAACTTTCCTAATGGTTCCTGAAAAATATATTCTTTTAAATTATTATTATTATTATTATTTTATAAGCTGTTATTTAGTTCACTCTTGGTGCTTGTCGCTATTTTTAAAAGATGGTCATGGATTTTTAAACTCCTTCCCAATAAGATATAGAACTCAAACTTTGTACATACACTGCTTGTGGATGTGGTGTCACACTTTTGATTTTTAGAGGATTAGATTTTTTTCAAATTTCAAGTTGAAACGATTTTTTGCAAATATTAACAAATAAACTGAGAATCTCAGAATATTATAGTATGCACCATAACACACTGTGGAGGAAAAAAAAAATTAAATGAAATTTTTAGCGTAAGTTTTTTTTAAAATATTATGGGAGAATTTTTGAAAGTCGTTCATATTTTTAGACTTCTTAATGGCCATTAATTTTAAAATTTCATATCTAAAAATATATCAGTTACAAACTTCCAACATTTTTACAGCTTATAAAAAAAACATTTCGCATTTAAAAAAATGATACAGGAAATTAATTGGATGATTTTTACTTTTTTGAAAGATATGCAATGAAGGAGAATGGGAAATAATGGTTCTTCTTGGGCATCAGTTCGAAATATCGGTTTCAAAGTAATAATCTCATTATACCACACTATTTTTATGACATTATTTATGCTATATAAGTTGTTATTGTTGCCAATTGTTAGTTCAGCGTTAGATTGGAGATATTTTTTAGTTAACTTTCTCTTAAGATGCATTTTGAATTCCGTTGTGTTTAACGTTCTTATTAGATTGAAGCATAACTACTGATTATACTTAGTGATATTCTAAACACTTGTACGAGTATTTCTGTGGAAAATTCCAGAACTTTGAAGTGTTTCTGTTGATAAAATAAATTTAATTAAGCTATCATCGGATTTGAGTGCAATGACAATAATTTACGATCTATTATCAATCTATTACAAACCCGTACGCATGCAACAATATTATAATTAATTAATGTGTTAAATTGTTTTGAACGTGTTTTACAAAACAAAAACAGGTAAAGAAAAATTCTGCTTGCGTTTTATGAGTTTTTGCAATTTTTCTGGCCACATAAGGTTTTAAAAAAGGTTTGTAATTTATGTTTATATTTACCAATTGAATAAATAGCACTAGGTTTGACTTATATTTATATATGTGTACTGAAATTCAGTAATACAATTTTCAAGATTTGAAATCATTAAATGTCTATTTAGACAGTTTGTATTCTTTAAACTGCAAAAGCAAACTGAGAAGCCTTTTGCATTTTTTTCAATAAATCCTTTTACTTAAAGTCCTAAAACATATACAGGTATGGACTAAATTTATTATTATTTTTGCTGCTTATTTAAAATTATATACTTTATAGAAACAAGGATGGGTTTTGCAAAATACTGAAAGGAAAAAATTATTTGAAATGAAAATGTGACTGAGATCATATTTGTTTTAAAGATTTTAGATAAAAGTGTATTTTTTTCCCTCAGACACTAATTCATTAATTGCAAAATCATTCCTTGAAGTTATTAAGAATACTCTAATAAATACAATAAAAAAACTGGGAGGGAGACATTGAAAATTGTAGGAGAAGAAAGACATTTTAATTGTAAAATTTTTCTTCAAAAATTTAAATTAAAAAAAAAAAAAATACTAGCAAAAACTTTTTTCCAGCTTAAAATTATTTTGTCTCACAAAACCATTTAATAATATTCATAAAAAGTAGCAGAAAATGCTTAAATATTTTTTAAAAAATTCATTCAAAAGGTACCGAGTCTCTTGTCGCGTTGAAGCCGATATGCACTTGTCTTAACTTTAGTTTTAATTTGAACAATATTTCTGGAATACCTAGCATCAGATAACCTTGTCTGTATTTATCTATAATTTGAGTATCTTGTACAGTTCTATCTAATTTTTGGGGGGATGCTCAGCACGATTGTTTCGCTGACAGTTCAGCGAGCAGTAACTAAACTTAAGTGAACAGTGCAGTATAGTATGGGAAATCTCCCCATTTGCCCTGCTCCCGAGAGGTAAGGAACATTCAACCAAGTTCTACTTCCAATTCGGCGAGGCAGTTAATGCTTGTCCATGTGAACGGGACACGTTGGAAGAACCGGTTTTCGCTACCGGTCGAATCTGCTCTTGTGAACGGGGCTCGTATGTTTGTCTCCTTAGATGTTTCACTATATTATGCCAAAGCAGTATATTCAAATTTCAGCCGATTTATTTGTACGACGTTTCGTACCTTTTCATTTGAAAAACCGTTATATATCAGTAGTTATCACCTTAATTGGTAGTCTTATTTAAAAATTCATGCTATTTTAAGGTTGCTTTTTTTTTTTTTTTTTACTTTATGTTTAATCTCTGTTGAAGTAAAGTTTGCTAGTTAAAAAATAAAAATTTTCAGGACTTGGATTCGTAAGTAAATATTGGGCTTATTGAGGGGAAAAAGCCATCCTTTTGTTTGGATTTTTACAGTTTTGTTGTATTTCATATAGTATTTTAATTTTTATTTATTTATTAACCTAAAAGAGAAATTGAGATGTCTCTTTCAGTTCAATCAAATCTAATTTACCGATTAAATGAAAGATCTTATGAGTGCAAACCTTCTTTTTAAATGAAGTTTTTATTCAAGAGTAAAATTTAGCTTGTGAATACACAATATTAGGTAATATTTGTGAGAAAAGAAATGAAATATTATTTATTGGGTTTTCCATGTTTTTTATTTTGTAAAATTTATAATATATAATATTTTTAAATAACTTTTCATGATGCACTTCTTCAGTTTGTTAGATAGCGTTGAAGTTATCAGCTGTTAAATTTTTAATGTAATATTAAATATTTTTTATGTAATATTAATATTTAATTAATTAAATTTTTAAAACAATTAAATAATTCAAAGAAAAATATTGGATATATAATAAGACGTATTAAAATATTATATTTAGAATAATATTCAGCTGTTGTATTTCCAATTTGTATGCTGTATTGTCTGTATCTGAAGTATTGTAAATTCCATATGTGTATTTAGTAATGATATAAATTTGCAGTTCAGTTTTTCCATATTTAAAAAAAAAATATTTGAGATTAGGAATAATTCAGTACATTTTGAAACTGCTTACTACAGGATCTTTTGGAGCCCGAGGTGGTCGTGGAGGCAATCAAAACAGAGGCTCTGGCCACGGAAGACCTGGAAGGCCCAAACCAAATTAAGTTGCAAATATCACTAAAGTTACAGTCAGATATTGTAAATATTCATCTGTTCTGATAGTCACACCATTTGATTGTATTTAATAAAGTAAATTAATTGTATATAAAAAAGTTTTTTTTTTGGTTGTCATATCATTTAAATAATTTGATGTACACTTGAATGAAAGAAATTTTTTAACTTCTGTTCATTCATTTTCTTGGATACCTGAGCCTCAGTGCACAACAATGACAAATTTGTCTCAAATAAAATGCACAGCAGACAAATATTAAATATTTTTATGCATTTCTTGTATGATTCATTTAACTCACAAACCATTGGTAACAAACATAGCAGTGAATGGATGATAATTAAAATTCCTAAAAATCCTTGGTTACATCCTGTCTTAGATACCTGGGAACAGAATCTTTTAACTTCATTGATGTTTGTTCTTATATGTAGTATTACAGAACCAGCTTTTCTAAAATGTTTTCCTCATATTTATCTCATAAAAGTTGATAGCACCAAAAGAGTATTAAATATTGTGATCTAATTCATTTCTGTTGCAACATTTGGAAAATGTTAGATTAAATTATTTGAATATAGTAAAATGATTTGAGCGAAGGGGAGGGATGTTTTCATGGAGGATTTTATGCAAGAAACTGGCTTACATTCACATTATACATGGGATGAACTAATCCTGCGGCAGCTTATTCTCCTGAATTCCAAATTCAAATTTAGTTTAATTTTTTGTGCTTCTTAAAATTCTTAAATACTCAAATATTATAATTTTTCCGTTAACTAACTAAATCTGTATTCAATACATACTCTGTAATTATTCTATAACAATATTGTTACGAAATGCCCATCTGCGGTAAGATAACGTTTCTGCAAAGTGGGTTTAGGGTTGTCAGAAAATGGCAAGGGAAAGCAAAATTGCCAGATTTGACATGAAATCGTCCATTTAGCGACATTTAGTGACAAAATTCTCAATAGGCCATGGACGAAAAGAGAACATTTTAAAACGAACTCTTACCGGTTTACCCCAAAATGTTGTTGAAGGCAGGCCAAAAGCTATATATATCCTGCCTGTACGCGGAGTATCAGTGTATCGCGAGTTAGTGCGTTGCAAGAGTGCATTGTCGAATGTATTGTCAAGTTTTATCCTAAGTATGTTGAGCTGCGAGAGTGATCGACAGAGTTGGGAGCTGTACTTCAGTGTTTTGCTGTGAAGCTGTCTTCGCCGTTATAGCCCAATAGCCTATAAGGTGTGTTGTTTATTGTTTCAGCATGTTTGTCGTAGTTTTTCGACGACTGCAAAGGTGGTTTTGGAGCTGTCCTGAGTAATACTGGCTAAATAAATTGTGTTTTAATTCTTCATCAAGTGTTCATTAATCACTCCAAATCCACGAACAAATAGAACGCAACAAAATCTTCGTAAAAGGCTGTATAAAAATAAATAATACATTCCCGTGCTTCCATATTTCCAAAAACAGCACATATTATTATAGTTTTGATCCTGATGTTACATTTGCGCTGCTATCCATCTCTCTAATGGATTGATGAGGAAACAAGATAGCTCTAAAGGTGCTAGTTAAGATGTCAAATACGACAAAAATTACATTTTTGAGTTATTAATATAATTTTTTTATTACCAGGCACCAATCGTACTAATCGCTTAGGAAGCTGAAAATGCTTGAAACGTACCTGCAAGTAAAGAAAATCTATTTTTGATTACATATTAGACACTGAATGAACATTGTGACTATCCCGATGTATCGATAGTCTTTTAAAATGATTTATTGTTGATGTAGCATAAAATACAATTTCTTTTTGGTAGAGTAAATGCGCTGCTAAGATGAGGTTCAGGCTTTGATGGACTCTTTCGTGATGTGGAGTTGCTCTGCCATTCATTGGTTTTTTTTCTCCTCCATTAAGTTTTTAATTTTGTTTTCTACTTTATTATGGGGTAAACATGGCTTTCAAATGGAAAGGATTCCGATATGTCCACTGCTAGCTGGGGAAGCTGTCATAGAAAGCTAGTAAGTGGGAACAATACTTGGGGATTTATTGTAACAGTCTAGCGTTCCCCTTACTTTTACCTATACCTACACATGTATCTGTTAGAAGCCTTTACAAGCATCTGTGAAAGGTTAACGCTATGTGTTGATCCATTTCCAATAGGTTTCATTTATACCCTGCACTGATTTTGATGAATTTTGACTCTTCTAACTGTATAATGAATCACCAAACGAGTCACAGATGCCAAATATGATTAGAGAGAAAGCTCATCTGAGTCTGGAATTTTGTCGAAGCTATTTAAATAATTAAGGTTATTGAACATATCTGGGGCACTATACAATACGTTGTGGAACATAGAAATCGCACACTTCCAAATGCAACAAAATTATAGGCTGCTGCACTGGAAAGATGGTGTTCATCGCATATGAAATGCTTTTGAATACTAGTGAAGTGTCATTTTTTGAAGTTTTATGCTTTTCTGAAATATTAGGCCAGGTTTTCTTTTTCACTTTTTCGATTTTCATGGGGCTGTTTTATTGTATTTCAGTATAGATTATTAGCTTTCATAAGAAGTGAAGTTGCAAGAACCACCGCTATTATTCAACTCATAATTGACTAATTTGTAAGAAAATGACAGCCAAGTGGTTAAAAGTTTGCTCTTTTAGAAACCTTTTTACATTTCTAGCTTGGGAGCTTGTTTTACTTTGCTTAATTAATATTTATAAAATAAATAGGTACTCATATTTTTAGCCTAAAACTTCATAGAGAATAACGCACTGAAACAAAAGTTGAGAAAAGTATGTTCGCTCTTTTCTTTGTAACCAAAAGGATGAACACGAAATGTAAAATGAAAAGAAATGTCTTTCTAATCAGTGGTAATTTATTGATTATAGTGTTTCTGATAGCATACCTTGTTAATTATTGCTTTGAACATTGAAAAAAAAAAAAAACTGTTGCCTTTTCTTTATTAACTCAACACCAAATATTAAAAAAAAAAATCGTTTATTTAGTTTTAACAGTCTTTTACTCTTGTGTGATTTTTCCCCTCTAATTCTTTAGTATAGAACACATAGGCCTTTGTTTACATGATTGCCTTTTCATGTTTAAAATAATTGAATAGGTTTCTTTTTGTATAATTTATTCATTAGTATAAAACTGAAAGTTATGAAATAATTTTTTACACATTTTTTTAACGATTTTAAGTATTTTCAATAAATATCACCGAAGAACTTTCTTACTTAGCTAGTAACTACTACTAAATGTTACTTAAGACATCTCTACTCTCAGCAGTAGCGAAATGGATGAAAGTGCTGAACACTAGTAGTTTGGGTATGTATTCAAACCCCACCTAACGTGCTCATTGTACGAGCACTTTCATGTTTTTTCCTCAAGTGTAAGGTGCATATGAGCTATTTAAGTCATCCACGGAGTTATCCTATACTTTGGGCCGATTTTCTTTCGAGCGCTTTGCCATATTCTAATAATGTCAACCTTCTCCAGTGTTAAACTGGATTTTCCACAGTTTTCTGTTCAAAAAGATACTTTAAGTACTTCTGTGCTCACAAGCAGCCGAGTAATAACTTTGCTGAATACTGGTAGTTCGACCCAGATTCAAATACCGTCGAACAGGCTGCATGGGAGTTTTCATGGTTCTACCACTGTGAAATATCAATACGAGGCAGCTTCCTATTGATAATCTTCCATGAAAGCATCTCTTCATATAGGCAATGAACACTTGTGTTTTGCTATAATTTAAATGCAGTAGACTCCCATTTAATTGAGGTTCTGAAGGGAGGGGGCGACGTCCATGCGTTTTGGAAGTCGTTAATATATTATAGGAAAAAGAAAGAATATATGTTATACTTAATAGAACAATTTGCTTGTATTTTAAGTCGTTTATAGTAGATAAGTTCATTTGGTTATGTAAATTAAATCAACATTCAAATCAAGAACATATTTCAAAGCAGAAAAGATATAATGGTTTTGTTTTTACCTGGATACAGAAGAGTAATGTCTGTACACCTAATTTTCTTTTTGGGGTTTAGTTTTTTGTTCTTAATTGTTGCATATGGAAACAATTCCTAACTACCGTGACATCATCAACTATAATTTGTATTATTTCACGCATTTTCTTCTCAGTTTTACATCTTCATTTTTTTGGTTTGTTATAGCCATTTTTCTAGCCTTCCGCGATAAACAAACTTCATCCTTTTTAGACAAGGCCCCATTATTTCATAACCTGCTTAAACCATGTACAGTTAATGGTGAGTTGACTGTAATCCAATCAGACAAATTGGATCAAGTGCATATCTGCAGTGCGTCATTTTTCAGTAACCCTTTCCCTACAAGAAATTCTTGGGATAACGGTTGCTTGTATTGTATTCATTTTTATTGCCTTTTAGATTAAAATGTTACCTGCCAGATGGTATAGTGGTTAGGGAAGTCTGACTGCGATACCGAAGGGCCTGGGTTCAAATCCCGGAGAGGCATGGTTGCAACTGTCCGTCCCTTCATAGGAGGCGATGGGGGCCCACCTATTAGGTGCCTCCATTATAAAAAGACCACCACATCTGGCCTTATATAGATTAATGGACTATTTTACACTGTAACTGTTCACAATCTGCCATTGGAACAAAAAACAAAAAAAAAAAAGTAAAATGTTTACTAGAATTACAAAAAACAAAACAAAACAAAAAACACACAATTTATTATTTTCAGGCATATATTATATTGCTAAAAAGTAACGAGTGTTCTTATTCTTACATAGTGAAACTGTACATAATAAAGGACATATACTGGAAATAAAGTGTCAATAACAGCTAACAAACTATTAGAATATGAACTAGGAACTGGTTTGAAAGAATTAATTTTTCTTATTTGGCAGAGTTTCTACAGAAGCACCGACAAGTTGCGAAAAATACCTATCTTCTTGATACCTTTTAGAATGTAACTGCCAAACGGTAACCGTCGGAATTTAGGAAACTGACTTAATCGATCTGTTAATGTGGAAAATATATTTCATCATCAAAAGTCGCCAGTAGTTATACTAGGTAATACTCCATTTTTATAAGAAAAGCAACTGTGTTTTGTAAGAATGCATTAAAGAAGGAAGTAA